AACTTTCAATTTATGAGAAATAAATTATACTATAAAACCATACCAAACGTTTGTTAATTTTGGCAATATTTTGTCAAATATTTGAACGAAAGTACACGAAGTGTGCCGGAACTGCTCACGGTCCGGAATTGGATCATAGACTGTATTATGGCGCCATGATGTAATTATGGTTCAATCATAAGTGATGTGTGTGACATGCATATTAATATGTTTCACTCTAAATGAATTCTGTTATCAAGTTGACTTGATTTAACGATAATTTAAAGTTCAATAACGCAATAAATTGTTATATACTGAATTAAATTGAATAAGCCATTCACAATACATTTAGTTTAGCTTCGCTTTCAACATTGACAAAATCAGAGGCATTTACATTTGATGTTACGTAAAAAATATTTGTGTAATTATACCCCCAAAAACGAAGTTTGGGGGGGTATATAGGAGTCACCCGGTGGTCGGTTGGTCGGTCGGGCGGTCGGTCGGTCGGTCGGTCCAGACGTCCGTTGCATTTTCCTTGTCCGGACCATAACTTGAAGACTAATGGTTGGAATTCAATATAACTACATACAATGGTCAAGCACATTGAGAGGAAGTGCAGTGCACAAGAACCATAACTCTATCTTGACTAATTACAGAGTTATTGCCCTTTGTTACTTTTCCTTGTCCGGGGCATAACTTGAAAACTACTGGTTGGAATTCAAAACAACTTCATACAATTGTCAAACACAATAAGGGGAAGTGCAGTGCACAAGAACCATAACTCTATCTAAAGTAATTACAGAGTTATTGCCCTTTGGTACTTTTCCATTGCTTTCTTTTGTCCGGACCATTACTTGAAGACTAATGGTTGGAATTCAATATAACTACATACAATGGTCAAGCACATTGAGAGGAAGTGCAGTGCACAAGAACCATAACTCTATCTTGACTTATTACAGAGTTACTGCCCTTTGTTACTTTTCCTTGTCCGGGGCATAACTTGAACACTACTGGTTGGAATTCAAAACAACTTCATACAATTGTTAAACACAATAAGGGGAAGTGCAGTGCACAAGAACCATAACTCTATCTAAAGTAATTACAGAGTTATTGCCCTTTGTTACTTTTCCATTACTTTCTTTTGTCCGGACCATAACTTGAAGACTAATGGTTGGAATTCAATATAACTACATACAATGGTCAAGCACATTGAGAGGAAGTGCAGTGCACAAGAACCATAACTCTATCTTGACTAATTACAGAGTTATTGCCCTTTGTTACTTTTCCATTGCTTTCTTTTGTCCGGAGCATAACTTGAAGACTTATGGTTGGAATTCAATATAACTTCATACAATGGTCAAGCACATTGAGAGGAAGTGCAGTGCACAAGAACCATAACTCTATCTTGACTAATTACAGAGTTTATTGCCCTTTGTTACTTTTCCTTGTCCGGGCATAACTTGAAAATTAACTGGTTGGAATTCAAAACAACTTCATACAATTGTCAAACACAATAAGGGGAAGTGCCAGTGCATAAGAACCATAACTCTATCTAAAGTAATTACAGAGTTATTGCCCTTTGTTACTTTTCCATTGCTATCTTTTGTCCAGAGTATAACTTGAAGACTAATTGTTGGAATTCATTATAACTTCGTACAATGGTCAAGCACATTGAGAGGAAGTGCAGTGCACAAGAACCATAACTCTATCTTGACTAATTACAGAGTTACTGCCCTTTGTTACTTTTCCATTGCTTTTTTTTGTCCGGAGCATAACTTGAAGACTAATGGTTGGAATTCAATATAACTTCATACAATGGTCAAGCACATTGAGAGGAAGTGCAGTGCACAAGAACCATAACTCCATCTTGACAAATTACAGAGTTATTGCCCTTTGTTACTTTTCCCTTGTCCAGAGCATAACTTGAAAACTACTGTTTGGAATTCAATACACCTTCATACAGTTTGTCAAGGGACATTAAAAGGAAGTGCAGTGCATAAGAGCCATAACTCCATTTTTACAAAATACAGAGTTACAGCCCTTTGATACTTTTCCTTGTCTGGAGCATAACTTAAAACGTACTGGTTGAAATTCAAAACAACTTAATACAATGGTCAAGCACAAAAAGAGGAAGTGCAGTGCACAAGAACTATAACTCCATCTTCAGTATTTATAGAGTTATTGCCCTTTGTTCCTTTTCTTTGTCTGTCTGGACTTATTACAGAGTAATTCAATAAAACTTCATCAATGGCCAACCACATTGAAAGGAAATGCAATATACAAGAACCACAACTATCTTTAATTGCCCACAACCATAACTCTATATTTCAATTCTTTTACAAGATATTCTGTTACTAGTAACATCCTCATTTCCAAAGCAGTCTTGTGGGGGTATTAATCACATTTAGTGATAGTTCTAGTTTAGATTTGATATGCTTATGCATCTTTTGTACAATGATAATGCAAACAATGCTTGTACAAGAAATATCTCGATCTTATTTATTTAATTCGAGATGTAAGATGCCCCCAATAAACGCGTATAATGTTGACTACTAAACACTGCTGTAAAGTATTTGAAAGTAGATGAATAAATGAGTGAAATGTTATCCATCCTCTCATACAAAATAAATAAAAGAAATACATAAATTTAACTTTTAAAATTGTTGTTGTTAGTTTGCGTGATATATTGAAAGCAATGCGAACATGAGTTTGATTTAAATACTTCTCAAGGTCGTGCAAAGTATATTTTCATAAACTAAAATGTTATGAGTTTGATTTAAAAACGTCTTCAAGATCGTGCAATGATGTTGATTTTCATAAACTAAAATTGTATGAGTTTGATTTAAACACGTCTTCAAGGTCGTGCAAATTTGATTTTCATAAACTAAAATGTTACTAATTTGATTTCTATACGTCCAATGTTTGTCCAATGACTTACAATATTGACTTTTATAAACTAAAATGTTGTTGGTTTGATATAAAAACGTTTTCAAGGTCGTGCAAAGTTGATTTTCATAAACAAATATATTATGAGTCTGATTTAACCCATTACTTCATTAGCATTTTGTGAAAAATGGCTGTTTTCATTGAAAAGTCTCCCGTTACAAGTTCAAATTGCTATAATACTATAAAAACTGCTTCAACACTAATCAAACTTGGCACAAATGTTGACTGGACCATTGCCCTTGAAACAACATGCTCAGGCTTAAATTTTCTGTTACCATGACAACGAGGGGGCATCTCAAAATTGCCAAAAATCACTTTTTTGCGTTGATTTTTTCCATCAAAATTGATTTCAAAGTGCTGCAACCTCTCAATGGATTGAGATAGAGTCAAATGCTTTTCAGCGTTGGTTGCACGTTACCTTATGATTAATCTGGGATCATTTATAGCCTCTCACAAGTCCAAAATTTTCTTGGCACACCCCCCTTCTGGCAACCCTCTGATGTATCTTTTGGTTGGGGGCCGCGCCGAAAAAGCGGTCACTTTTTTAACAACATTTCTCAAACAAAAACAAGCGTTTGCGGCCTGAATAAGGCATTTTTTCACCATTAGAGACAACAAAAAAGGGGGAGGGGGGTGAAAAAGGCGTTAAGAGGCGTGTATATCGCGGAATGGGTTAAACACGTCTTAAAGGTTGTGCCAAGTTTTATTTTCATAAACTAAAGTTTTATGAGTTTGATTTAAATACTTCTCAAGGTTCGTTGAATGCAAGATATGTTCCATCCAGCATTTATACAGATTGGTTTTTATAAAAGGCATATTTTATCGTGTCGTTCTCCGACTACAATTACAGCATATTGGCCACAGACAGGGAACTTTATCAGAAAACAAATTAACTGCTGAAATAATTTTTCAACATTGACATTTTCAATTTTAAATTCATAAAATAATGAAAAGATCAAAAAGTAATCAAATAGTAACTATTAAATAGTTTTTGTTTTGAATGTTTTGTCACAATTACTTCACCGGCCAACTACCAACACCGTTTTCTTGCAGTCAACTAATTTGTGGAAATATTTGTACATCAACCAAAATATGTCTAGGGCTTATGACAATATGATATGACTACATTTAATTAGAACTACTTTGGCAGTATGTAATAGGCAGGTATAACACATTAAGTAACTGCATCTTCCTAAAATAGGCATTATAAACTCAAAACACCATAGTGTACTAATCAAGGAGTCATGAGATAAGCACATTCTTTTAATTGTGACACAAATTATTTAAATTATACCAATTTATGTAATAAATACCAAACATGTATATATATAACCTCTATACCAATTATTCATTGGTAGTGTCATTGAAAACATATTTTATAATACATATATCGTTTCAATGGAGTATGAACTATAATTCCTACCAGTTAAAATATACAGTAGTGAAGTATCTAAATCAAATACATATTTTACATGCTATGTCACTTGTCAATAAACAATGTTACAAATTCCACCTGTGTCATCATAGACATGCCACTGACACGTATGTAATTGAATACCTGTCAAGTAACAAAAGATGAACGCTAAATAATAATTATAATATTTGGGAAGGGGTTCGCAGACACGTTTTAATTGAATCTATTCTAAACATACGGCACATCTAACGTCTGTAGCACCAGCTTAAATAGATAGTTATAAAAGAAAAGGCTAAGACGGTACCGCTAAAGCCGGTGCTAGGGGGTGGGCATGACGGATGTTTCACTTTTAATTGTGCCTCATGGACAAACTCATTCAAACCGAGTCTGCAATTTCCATGTAATGTTGTAGTGATTAACGCTTGGGAGGGACCTCTCTTTCTCCAGATTTTTGTAAAGTATTGGAATAAATTTTCTCGGTGGACGAAATTGGCATGAAGTTCAATGAAATCTACGTGAATGTGTAGATTTTTATAACAAAAAATGCATGGTTCACATTTGTTTTAGTGCACTTTCGGCTTGCTTGGAAATGATACTTTTTGATCGATAGTTGTTTTGTATGTGAAGGTCAGTCTTAAGTAGTTATAACAAATTATTTAATAGAAAACATTAATAGCTGCTAATATTTATTTTTGAAAATTATTCAACAGTTAACACCAATTGAAGTTAATACGCGATAAAACCACTTCAATGAATTAAATAGTTGGCAGTCATGTTCCTTTTAAAATCTTTTTCACATATCCATAGATAAATACTAACACTTGAAACATGGAAACAATAAAGGTCGCAACGCTGCAAAATTGAAAAAGTTGCAGGCTCGATTTGATGAACGACATTTCTGTCTTTGACACCATGCATAGATAGTCTTAAGCAAAAACAATCTCCCGTAGGAAACGCTTTTAACAATGTGACACTATTTTGTAATTCTTAGTTAAAGCAGAGTTTGATCACCTAGTTATGTAATAGGTATTTACTAAATAAAATGGAAGGTTTGGAAAACGTTTATTAAGAAGACTTGTAAACATAAATATTGACAATGATTAACATCAAATGTTGCCTTTATAATAAAAAGCATTCGAACTAGATTTTACTGTACTTACTTGATTTATACGGTGGCATAGAGGGGACATATTTTATCTATCACGTACGCACGCGATGGGGGACATCAGAAATCTTTTATCTATCACGTGCGCACGCGATGGGGACATCAGAAATATTTTATCTATCACGTGCGCACGCGATGGGGGACATCAGAAATATTTTATCTATCACGTGCGCACGCGATGGAGGACATCAGAAATATTTTATCTGTCACGTGCGCACGCGATTGGGGACATCGGAAAATATTTAAATGCCACGTGCGCACGCGATAGCTACCACGTGCGCACGTTATGACTACTACGTGCGCACGCAATAGCTACTAAGCGCGCACGTACAATTTATTACGTGCGCACGCGATAGCTTTTAATTTCAAACAAGTCATGAATAAGCACTTCACTTCCCTGTCCATTTTAGAAATGGAAGGTATTACGTGCGCACGTAGTAGCTGTCGCGTGCGCACGTATTAGTAGTAGCGTGCGCACGTAGAAGCTATGGCGTGCGCACGTAGTAGCTATCGCGTGCGCACGTGATAGATAAAATATTTCTGATGTCCCCATCGCGTGCGCACGTGATAGATAAAATATTTCTGATGTCCCCATCGCGTGCGCACGTGATAGATAAAATATTTCTGATGTCCCCTCCATGCCACCGTAGATTTATAACCGGAAATAAATTATATTTGTTGAAGAAAGGGGGGAAACATTGCGCGGTTAACATTGTGCTATAACTAAAACATTACATGTATAAGTTTGTTTTACATATTTATAAGCATTTGGCATGAATAAAGCTGAAAATGAAAACCGTTACAGAAAATAATTTAACTTTAAATAGTGTGACTGTTTAATATCACTGTATGTTATTGGAAATAAAAAGTAAAGAACATAGGTACATGGTTGATGTAGAACAAGATGTGTTTAGATATAAATAAAAATGGATGATGTGTATAATTTAAATTATTTGATGTGTGATCAGAGAGGAAAATCAAATTTTAAACTTGAATTTAAATGTCAATTTGTTTGCCTTTTCATTGAATGTCAATGGTACAATTTGCACAGTTTTCGGATTTAAAGTTTGAAAACTGTTTTGATTGATTTTATCTTTGCTAAGTCTATCAAATTCAGTTTTATGTTCCAGTCCTAGTCACCGGAAATATGGAAACATGTGTTGCCTCTGGCCAAATTTTCCACGCCGAGGTTGTTGAGCATCGTCATTTTCCATTTGTGATACGTTCTCATGTTTCTCTTCACGTTGAAGAACACGAATTTCGAGTTTCAATTTTTTAATCTCCAAGTCTTGTTTCTTAACAGCACGTTCCATAAACTTCTGTTTCATTGTGTCAAAATCCCATGGTGTTGTCGTTTCATGAATACTGGAAAAGTGCAAAAATATAAAATAGCACAAAACAGAATGACTAGTGAGCAATTTTAGAAATGGCTACACAAGAAATAAGACATTTCACGAAGATATTTTTCAGTTTTATTTTCAGAATAATTTTATAAAAGTTGTTAAGCAAAGTGTTTTTTATTGTACAATGGGAGTGTTCTTTAATGCAATACACGTATAACTTAATTAATTTTGATGGTAAGGAAATGCTAAATCCGAAATACAGGACAGAAAAAGTAGATGTAAAAAGCAAGTATTGTGATTTCTCGAAGCAAATGACATTGTTATTTTGATTCATCGAGTGTCAATATTTTTCTTAAATTCAACAAATCTGGAAGCTAGGGAATTAAGCAATCATGAAATTTAGAGATTTTTCAGATACGCATTAATATAACAATACTATTAATTAGTGAAATTATCTTTTGAAATAAATATTGACTGGTCATTTAAGCGATTTTGAGTGTGATAAAATAAAAATCTATTTCAAAATTAAAAAAGAGGTATCTTAAAAAAAGGATACTCGGGCAAAGTAAAACTGGTTAACTTGCATATTTTAGTTTTAAGTTTTCCATGCAAAGTAATAAAGAAATGTTAGCATAGCTTGCATAACAATGGCATAATAATTTCCTGTAGGGTTATAAATCTTGAACAAATTTGAACACTTTAAGATGTATGTGTTTCTACATAAACCTGTCTTGATTTGGTAAGTTAACTCAGTTTCTAACACCAACATGTACGCAGTCGGTGTGGAACTTTGTTTTATAAATACTTAATAATATGCAAAAATAAAAAAACAACTTATTAACATTATATCAATGGTTCACAGCAGTAATCATATAATATATAAGACACAGCAATTTAACTAGAAAGTTAAAGAACTATCTTTTACAATTTATTTTTGAACAATCCTTTACATTTTATTTTATAACGGCAAGAACTATCCTTTACAATTTAGTTTAAAACCATCTTGAAATGACAAGAGCTATCCTTTATATTTTATTTTAGAATGGTCAATCAGATTCCATGATTTTATTTGTAATTTTAAAATGACCAATGCAAACTTTCCTTATATTCAGTTATTCTCTGTAAAATTTAAAGGAAGTCAAATTGAAAACAGACCTGCCTTTGGCCAAAAAAACCCACATCCTTCATAATTTGAAGAGAAAACTAAAGACACTTAATGAACTAAAATATCAAATGTTTCACTTTTATAATTACGTTTAACAGGAACTTACAGTTAATTTTAACTTTTTGTTATTGTTTCTTATTCGCTGCAGGTAAGGAATTATCAAACATAATTTGCATTGATTGTAATTTTGATCAGTTTAGTTGTTGTAAAAGCTAGCTTAAAGTAAATAAAAAAGGTGTGAAGAACAATCTTCTAATTAAAACTGATCATTGCAACAATTCCGAAAGCGGACAGTTTATCAAATAAACTATTTATAACACAAACCATTTTAACAAAAAGAAATGGTTTCCGTTACAAAATATTGCTTTCATAGGAGCAAACTGTTAAAAATAATGAAGTTTTCAAAGCCTCGAATTAAGCCTAAAAATGAAAATTGTTAAAATTTGAAGTTGAAGTCTCGTCTGATCTCTGTCATGTGATGTAAACTGAAAAATTGCTATGTAATGTGTATTAATCCACATCAATCGAAGGGAGTAATCTATCTATAAAACAATTTTGCAAGTGAATAGTATAGTTAAAATATTTTGTCGGCGTGTTCCTATCGGGGATTTGGGTTTAAAAACTGTAATAAAGTAATTTTATCAATAAACCACTTCAAACAGTTAACATCTTTCGTCATTAAAAATAAAAAAGTAATAGAAAGAGGATCAAAACACGAGGCTATCTGATTTGTACGATGGTGCGTCTCACGTTCCCTATTGTTTCAATATGAAACCCAAGAAAAAGGTAACAAATTAACTAGCATCTGAATATGCCATTTCTATCGCTATCCCATTCCCTGTCGTCACAATAAGTATTTCCAGAAAAACATGAGCAAATCAATGGGCATGCTCTAGGGTGCTGCTAACTTATATCACATATATATACGATTTAACTCTGACACATTCAAAAAGAAAGGTCCCTTAACTATGATACAAGTTAAAGCAGACGTTTCTGTTATACATTTATATTGGTTGTATTTTAATGAGAATTTCTTAGCGCGTGTGATCAACTTAAATTCGAAGTTTTTAAGACATGCAGGATATTTGCTAAGAATCAATCACTTCTATTAATGTTATGTCTAAGCCCTGCTGTCATAACACAAGAAACGATAAAATGATGTTGGTCAGGCCTTTAAACTTGTAAAGTTTTAGATCATTCTCTCAGTCCGAATGTTACTTTTTCTTTTTGCGAAATGACCACTTAAACTCTGCTATAAATTGCAAAAATTAATTTTCAACTCATTTCATTTATAATCTTTCGCAGATTTGCAAAAATTAATTTTCAACTTATTTCATTTATAATCTTTCGCAGATTTTTCTATCTTAAATACATTACTTGAGAATTTCAAATGATATGTTTTTATCCTTTTTTACCACAGTGAAGCTTCTTTAAATCTTTAATAATGGAACGTAATTTACCTTAAAGAGGAAGGTGATGTTATATAAGATGTCATTGGACTGACAGTAGAAGGAGTCGTCGACGGTGGTGATGCTCTCGTGGTAGTGGATGTAGAAGTAGATTGTACTGGAGTTGACAACTGCGGTATCGGAGCTATTTTTATTTGTTGTTCTTTTGGAACTAATATTTTGTTGCCTTTGCTTGTTGAATAAAAATGTCTTCGAGGCAATATAATTTTGCCATTAAAAGCCTGACCTGACGTAAATGCACTTAAAGGGATTAAGATGTGTCGAGGTGTGGCCGTTTCTTTAATAACGTTTGATGTAAGTGACGATTGATCTTGTATAATACTTTGTGGTCTTTGGTAGTGAGATATAATATTATTTTCCTTTTTAACGTTCGGATTTAAATGACTATTGTATGTGTAATGCTGTGTTTGGATAGCATTTCGTGTCATCGGACGTCGAACAGCACTTTCCGAAATAAAATTTTGCAAAGAACGTTCCATTTGACTCATGTTTGGCGGTTTGACTTTAAGTGTTTGTTTCGGATAAAACATTCGTTGCATTGGTCGAGATGGTATTTCAGATGTACCTTGAATTGAATGTTTCTGATTTGGATCTTTATTAAGACCATGTTGTACTTCACGAAGTTGTATTTGTTTTTCAATTTGTTGTAGAAGTCTTTGATTCTTTAAATTCATAGGGTCGTTGACTTTTTTACGTTGATTTAATTGTTTGTGCATTGTTCTCAATTCACTTAATTCAAGAAACATTTTATTCTCATTGTTAGTATTTTTCGGTCTTGAAGCGACTTTCCGTATGTTAGAAGAACCCTTGTCTATCTCCTTGTTATTTTTATTAGAACTTTCAAGTTGTTGATGACTTGTATTCGACAATTTATGACTTGTAACATAATCAATCCTGCCTATTCGTTTGTTACCTATCGCATCTGTAACATATGTGAAGCATAGTATGAATTAATAAATTCAATATAAGGAAATTAATCTTTGTTTGATAAAGTAAGATGAATTGTGCTGAAGAATATATACCTTATCATATATGGAAACAACTAAATCTTATCAATTAATCAACCATAAATAAATAGTCTATGAAAAAGGCTATTTTGTATGTTTTCAATAAAACTAACATACAAATTTCTGAATGATAGCACGCAGATAAATAAATGTTGCTTTAAAAAATAATAAAATGAAAACAATAGTATTATAATCGTTATATATGTGATAAAATCCGACATACTTACACGTTTCCACTGAAACTGTCGAAAATATTAGGCAAAAGAAAAGTATCCATTGTAAGTTTGTGAGGGAATAGCACTTGACAATGCTTTGTGTAAGTAGCATACTTGCAATATTCCTTTAAGAATAACCGTACTATATCACTGACTCTTTCAGTATTAATGTTTTGTATTTTTCTTATGTTTCTTTAATTATCTGAATGCATTTGTATTAATCCGTAAAGAGAAAACACTATTTTGCAATGACCAGGGCTCTTTAAATGATTCTATATATGTTTGATGACGCCTTCATTTCATTTGAATAGTTGAAATTATCAACGTCAAAATACATTCAAACAAAAGAAATTAATAAAAAAGGAAAAAGGAATAACAGGAAATAACACTCACGTTTTATTACTACTGATTGTTTATTATAGTAAACCTGCGGTCGCACTTGAACTTTCAAAGCATTAAATTGTTGTCTCATTTTTCTACAGTTTTTGTACAATAAAAGTGTCATTTTGAATTAATACTCTAATAAGACCGAACAAACGGCGCAATAAACGTTACTTAAATAGCTTAAAAGATACGTTAAAATAAGTAATGTACTCTTTACTGTCATAAAATACCAAGGCAAAGATTTCATTCAATTGATGAAACAGATCTTAATCTCATGTAAATAACATGATGATATAAGAATTTTATCAAAATATTACACAAGCGAGGTTTTTCGCGTTCAGGAGGAATGGTTAGCTGTGAATACTTTAAAATAAAATAGAAGCATAACGACATGAAAATTTCATTACGTCGTACGAGCACTGTGACATGACGGGTACCTGTTAGTCAATGTCGCATGTATCTTATTTATATATATAGACAGAGCTGACAAGCTCGTAATGGTTTATCTTAGAGTCTTAGACATTATTAATGTTTTCCAATTAAACGATATCTAAACTTTTAATCAGCAAATGACCAACAATAAAAAGTCAAATATAAAAATAAACATAGTATACATGCATAAGTCATTAAAGCCTGACTGCTTTGCAGCCGATGTAGTTTAGATTAAAAAGACATTATACCCATTCGATAGTATAAAGTGAGTAAACAGGTGAAAGACAAAATACGTTTACATTGTCTGATGATTTCTTTCAATACCATAATTTACTTCACACTAATGAACATAATGTCACTTTAATTCTAATGCTTAATGACAGTAAATCAATACAATAAAATAGTACAAATATTTTGACAATTCCATTGAAACAGGTAAAGCATATACATTTGTAAAAGAATAAACGTTACTAGATGTCGTCATTGATAAAAATGTAGTTTTTGTTGTTGTTTTTCTTATCACGGCTAGCATAATGATATGTGAAATGAAAATATATTTTGTCAGATACAAGTATTTCTGTATGTTCTATTCGCGTTTTTGTATGTAATTTTTGGCTTTTTCAACTTAAAACGATATGATTTTTTTAAGTGTTCTATTTTCGTTATAAAAATTTAAAGCTTCTGCATACTTAAGTGCTTTTAAATGTTACAAATAAATTAAAAAAGCAGTTAATAGATAACACGTTTCAAAATGCAAGATTAATTTTCGTAGGAGTCGTCATAATTAAAGTAAAATTGTGATAAATTTTACAGTGAATAGCGTTATTAATTACACATTTGTTCAAGTAGACGAGATTCTAAACTTTAACCCCGGAAAAACTTAATTTAAGATGAAATCTTATCATAAATAACATTGGAAATACCACTTTCTTTGAAAAATATTCCTGTCAGGACAGACTTTATTCAGTATATATCTTCACATAACAGCGCAATTTTTTAAAATTAAAACATATGATATATAATTGAAACTGTTATGTAAATGATGCATGAATCCTAATATATACCATTCGTAAAAGCAAATATAAAATGTTACTATTAGCGTTAAATAAAACATGGTTCATTTGTATCGCCCGTGCTATAGCATAAATATGTCCATAATCGAAGAGATCATTTAACGACATCTTTACTCTTTTGTGTGTTTTAACGGCGCTCCAACACAATTTAGGTCATATAGAAATAGGAAAGTTGACTTGGCTATCCTTTGGGTGTTACAAACTTAAAGCAACACCAGTGGCCAAAACCACCTCACCTGCTGGATTTAAGAGATGCATAGAGAGATGCATAGACTACAGTTATTCTAACCCATTTGGTCGCCTATTACGACTACACAGGAATGTGGTAGTAATTCTGATGCCTAAACTCTTTAAGGCTACCACTCAGCCACAAGGGACCGGCAAATTTAGTAAAATAGTACAAACATTCAGTTGTTGTAGGAATGACAGTTACCGTTATCAAGGTTTTTGTGATAGGCACAGATATCTATGGCGTTGCGACATCGATAAAGAACAACTAGCCGTTATTGTTTAACGACCCTTTAAATACACAACTCTATGATCTCAATATAGTCACCAGATCACTTAACACATTTTCTCGTGTCTAGAAATCTTCTGATCAAATGTTTCTACATCCCTATCTTTGTCAGAGTGAGCATCAACTGCATATATAAGGACAATGAAAACTATCAAATATTTGACATTCTAAACCAGCTTGAAGTGAGTTTGTCACGGAAATACCTGGAAGTCCATAGGTGACATATCAGGCGATAATAGTGCAGGCGTTATCTTCTTCAACCAAAACCAGTAAATTTCAAATTGTTTTCCTGATGTTGTATGGTGCATTGTCCTGATTCCGTAGTTGTGTTACTAAAATTGACACAAAATTTTATAATAATTGTGCTTTGTTCTGAAAAATTACTTTACTTCATTTTAACAAATTGCTTAGACCACCAAATCAATAGTTTGTATCGCCAAACAACGATTCCGAAGTCAATATATGGCCCGTTTGCATGAACTGTGCCAAATGTTGCATGGACACCGTCTGTTGACTTTGCCCAACAATATTGATATTTTATAAATACAAAGTCTAATGTTTTTATCCTTACTTCCTTTGCGATGTGGGATAAATGAAACGGCCAAAAATATAAGATTATTTTTCATTTATAGAAATCTTTTCTAGCAAACAAAAGATTGTTTATATGTTATACGTTTATATACCAACTATTTCTTTAGCATGCAGAGTTTGTTTTGAAGGAGTTAATGTACATCACTTGTGTAGAGGTCTTAAGAATATTATGTTTACTATGTTTTGCCTTAAATTGTATCTTGTAATAAAATCAATTGCGCAATGATTTTAAATGAATGATGTATATGGCTATTGTATTTAGGATCAATTTTAAGAAAAAAGTGACAAACATACATTTTTCTTCAAGATTGTTGACATGTAAGCATGACATGAATTATGATTTATGTTTTGTCTCAAGTATGTTATCTTTTAAATTGTTAAACAGTCTAGCTTTCATATGTCTTAAAAAACTAAATTTGGTAAATAAATTCGCCTTTCTGAATATTCAGTTATTTATAATTCTAATTATTAAGTGCAGACATATCAAGAAATGATATCGTTATTTCTCTTGGAGAACTACATGAATATACGCTTTTAGTTTAATATAACTATTTATTTAAAAAATAATTACAGTACTTTATATCCCCCATAAGGTTTACACATGGCATTCATTTTATAATCTTTGAAAAATGTATCTGTCTAAAAACAATTAAACTTTCTTAAATAATTACTTTTGCATTCTTAATGAAAACATTTTTAGAATATATGGCATGGAACACCCTCGTGTTGCACACCTTCGTGCTGTCCTAGACAGTTGTGCATTTAGTACGACAATTCTGTCTTCAACTACTCTAATATTTGCATTCCGCATACACTCCTGTATGTCTTATTTATTGCATTTTATTTCAATATATAGCAGTTTTATGTAGAAGAGACTTACAGTTATTGACACATATACCGTTCACCAGGAAAGTGTTAGTAATAAATCATATGTTTCTTTGTTTCAATGTTGCTGGGTGTATTAAGTAATTATACATTCCACCAAATTATTATCATGCATGGCTCATAATCCTATTATTGTACGCAAAACATTCTTTCATTATGTACTTAGTATAAAGTTCGAAATGTATACTAAGCACATTTATCAAAACTATTTTTGTAATTTGTTAAACCCAATAGCAATAGGCAGAAAGGCGTTTTATCATCAATAGTTAGCACTGAAAAAAGAAACCCCAACAGAAATTATAGACTGCAATAAAAAAAATTTCCCAAAAACATTTTTCCGAAAATAAGAAATCATATGGAATTAGAGGCTCTAAGGTAAGGTGAAAAGAAATAGCCAGGAATATTAAAAAACGCCTTCCTTGTCATGGAGGGGGTGTCGTGTGCAAGATGGACAGCTTTCAAAATTTGCATGGAGTTTTTGGTTGCCCTGTACTTGGTTGCCCTGTACTTAACTTCACTATTGTCTTATTTTTTGTCCAGCAGATAAAGTGTTGAGGATTGGATACCGGTTAAATCGGCGCTAGCGGCCACATTTACATTATACCTCATGAACAGACTCAATTCCATCAGCGTCTGCGATCAACTTGTAATTTTGATGTTTTCATTGCATCCAAGAGTTCTCCCGCTTTCTGGATATTTATTGTGAATCTGTTTCCCTTTTTTCTTGTAAAATGACCAAGTGGCTGCTTGGTCAGAACTTACAGAGGTTTGGTGCACCATTAAGCGGTTAAAACTCCCCAGCAATACTTATGCTGCTGACCGTTGCAAGACGGCGTCCTCTGTGTTCCTTAGATATGTGTATTTGTTGTTTCACAATGTTTGGTGAAATTTTTGTGTGTGCCCCTTGTTGTTTTCTCGTCTACCTAAGTATCTTCCCTTTTGCCCCTAGTTTTTTTAATCTCCCCCTTTCCCAGAATCTCTAGTCCCATTCCCCTGTGCCCTTTTACTTTGTGGGTCTAATAATAAATAAATTAATTTATTATTTGTTTTCTTTAATTTCATTGGCGGTTGCCATTATTTCTTTTTAGGTAGTGTTTATGTGATTATCATGTCCGTGCTCTGCCTTGCGACCCGTCCTGTTTTTGTTTTGGTCCTCCTTGGCTCCTTGCCTCTGTTTCTTGTTGCTGTGCCGTGTAGGGTTGCGTTTATTGAACGCCGCATTTCCTTGTTGATCTTGTTTATCATATTTTGAGCAACTGGCCTACTGGAAATAACCATAATTGCATAATGCGTCCTTATCTTTTAACTTTTAATTCATTGTACTAATCGAATAACCATCTGGTGAACACATTTTAATGGAGCAAATTAACTTGAGAACTAACACAAACTGTTTGCTAATATGCAAATACAACAAGCTACTGTTTTACAAATAGCCAAAAACCTGTTTCTAATTAACATTTAAAAGAGTGTTGCTTACCTTTTTAACAGAAATCTTATGCTTATCAGAACAGGGTGCATCTTTGACAGGCATAAAACATGAAATAGAAGCCTTAAACTACTCCAGGTCTTTTTTTATAGCGTTTACTATAGCTAAGAATTTTAGTAATTTTATTATATTTCTCTATTTCAATTAAACATTGTATAAAAAGGCATGACTGCATGTACGAGGGGTGACCAAGAATTTCTCGGAATTTGTTTATAAGTCTGAAAATTTCCCTTCGTTCTAACGCCGTGTTGCTGTGAAATCAAGTTTGAACAGTTTGTAGTTGCAACGTTTACTCAGTCGAAAACGCCATCACCAAAGATAAAACTAACCTCATATAAAAATCTATGTTTGCGGGTGACACAGATGTTTAACAGACAATAAGATCAATTTTAAATATGGTAAAGGTCTTTGGCGAAATAGATGAAAATCTGGAAACAAAGTGATCCCTCGGAAGCATTAATCACAACAAAATTATAAGAGAACTGCAGACTCAGTTTGATTGAGTCTGTACATGAGGGATAATTTAAAGTGCAACATCCCTCACGCCCCCTAGATGAAGGCGATATTGTGTGGGGCCTGGCCAAACTTTTTATGCGGTCTGTTTTCTTTCGTTTTCATTTAATTCTTAATGAAGAATTGCATTCAGCCAAAGGTTTAATTTGTCCAATTGAAAACTAAATGCTTGGATATACATCTTCTTATTATAATGTACTTTTGAATTTTTTTTGTTTTTGTTTTTATTTTCTTTTAACCTTTTACGCATGAACATATTGTGAAAAATGGCTGTTTTCATTGAAAATCCTCCTGTTACAAGGTTCAACTGCTATGAAACTATAAAAATGCGTCAATACTAATCAAACTTGGCACAAATGTTGACTGGACCATAGCCTTTGTAATTTCATGCTCAATCTTAAATTTCCTGTTACCATGGCAATAGGGGGACGTCTAAAAATTGCCAATAATCACTATTTTGCGTTTTTGTTCCATCAAAACTGATTTCAAAGTACTGCAACTTCTCAATGGATTGAGATCGAGTAAAAGGCTTCTCAGCGTTAGTTAAATGTTACCTTATGATCGATCTGAGGACATTTTAAACACCCCTAACAAGTCCCAACTTTTCTTGGCGGTGAGGGTGTCTGCCGCCATCCTTCAAACCACCATAACAGAAAGGGGCACATCCCCATTTGGCACCCTTTGATGTACCTTTTTGATAGGGGCGGCGCCGAAAAAGTGATCACTTTTTAAACAACATTTCTCAAACGAAAAACAGTGTTTGGGGCCTACATAAGGCATTTCTATTTCTTTCACTATTTGAGCTCTCAAAGGGGGGCTGAAGAGCCGTCTTAACGCGCTTTTATCAGGTAAAAGGTTAAGGAGGGTGTATTACACATCAATACAGCGTTTTTATAGGTTTACAATAAACACATTTCCAAAAGGTATTTAAAATATTGATCAAAACAATAGAAATGTATCATTTGAAAATTCTTATATTATGCTGCTTGAAAAAATGGTGATCAAGTTCTAAGTGATTTATGATGTCCATTTATCAGCTGAATCAATAAAATTTTGTTCTGGAACACATTAATATCTGCTATATAAATATATGTTTTAGTGGAACATGTTTCTCGTACTTGCTAACAACTGCTATGTACAATTCTTTCGTGGTTTGTTGTAATGTCTAAATTAAATACTTAACACTAGCAATGTAAGTCATTAAATTGAAGTTCTTCCATTATAGTCCAATTCACTTTACATAAATATTGAATCTACGGCCTGATTTTGGTAATTCTGGATCATCCCTCATTTTAAACATAAAAATATCTATATTTTAAAACTCAATTAGTGCGACAAGACCAGCTGTTGCTTAGTATTGACCACACCATACGACATGACAAGGCAAGTCCGTAGTTTGTTACAGTCTGTTAGTATCTAATAAAAAAAGTTCTACACATAACTATTTTATGATACCCGTTTTTTGATCCTTTAAATGTGTTTAGGTTATTTCATTTGTTCTGTAGCAGAGTATTGAAATAGCCATATATGTCGGTACAACTGTAAGCTAATGTCTTTGACTTTATTTTCCCTGCGTATGCATTGCGGCGTCTTCGTGTTCAACTTCTGGTAGGTTTTGTTTCTCCTCTCTCACAAGTGCACGGATTTCGAGCTTTAATTTTCTTATTTCTAGCCTTTGTTTCTCTATTTGACCTTTCATAAAACTGCTTTTAATTGTATCAGGGTCATTATGTGTTGTTAATTCTGAATCACTGAAAACAAATTAGAACACATTATGAAATAAAGGAGGTGAAGATTAATAAATCACATGACACTTCCTTTGTATAAGTCAGGCAAATCACATTTAAATGAATGGTTTTTAATTAAAATAGATGTTCGCAAGTTGCTTTACCAAATACTATTTAGACTTCGCGTTAATTTGTTCTATTAACTTAAAATGCACTTTGACTACCTGCTTAAACACATTTCGAGGCATTAAGTATTTACTAAACTATTTGTATGTAACAAGGAAAAGAGTTGTCGTTCGTTATGAAGATTGAAAATTCCCTTTATAGATATAGAGTAAGTTTATATTCTGGAATAAAATGTTTTAAGCCAAATTGGCTCTCTGTGTTTATGTTAAACAACCGAATATATAAACATTACCTAAATTCAGTTGTTACATGTATTGTAGCTTTTGTTGTTGTTGGAAATGGCGTCTGCTTCTCGGGGGTGGACGAACTAGAAGGCGCACTTGCGGTTTCCGGCGGCGCCAATTTCTTTGCCGTCTTTTTTGTAGATTTTCTCTCCGGGTTTGTACGCTGAAATGAGTTCATAACCATAAATGTGTCTGATATACCTTGAGCATTTAAACTTCCGGCCGAGGAAAGAGCACTGACAGGAACTAGGATATGTCCTGCAGGTATTTGCTGCACAGTTGCTGCATTGATGTTGTCAAGTCTCGTGAGTGGATTTTGATTCATAATATGATGCGGATATACTATATGTTTTATCCTTTGAAATTTTCCAGATTGGGGTTTTGGGGAGATACTATTTCGCAGTTGAAACCCTCGTGTCATTACATTATTTTGCACAGGTGATTGAAGTTGTGTACTAGAGTTTGGATTAGAATCTTTATATAATTTGTTTTGATTTCCACTCAAGCTTTGGAGTTCTTTTTTATTTTCAGGCCTTGTCACTCTCTGGTTTTGTAGTGTACTTGAAGAAATGGCTGCAAAGTTAAGTGATGAATTGTACAATGGCTTTAGTGCCCGAGACGAAGTCGGTTTAATGTGCTCACTATTGCCTTTTCTTTTAGCTAGTTGCAGTTTACGGACCCTTATCTGTTTTTCTATTTCATGTTGCAGTTGTAATTTCTTAGCATTGTTTGGTTCCATGGTCCTTTCTTTCATCAACTGTTTGTGCATTTTATTTAATTCATTTATCTCAAGTTTGAGTTTTTCATCGTTTTTTATCGTTTCCGTCATGCCATTCGAAACAGATGCCATTTGTCCTTTCTGATGCTCAGATTTACGAGTATCTGTAATTGTCTTGTTGGTATGATCAACAACGTTATGCTGTTTTACAAATGGTTCATTTCGTAATGTTTTATTTGGTTCTTTGCTCTTCTTTCCTCCTTGCACGCTGAATCCATCTGAAACAAAGATCGGGTGAAAGTGATGTGAAATAAATACTAAATCCATTGTATTTTAATGAAGTTATAAGTACATAGATGGATGATGAAGATACTGAACATAAATTATAACTAATGAATTTTCCCTTTGTAGGTTAACTGAATATCAGAATAGCTCACATTTGTAGGTAGGGTTCTTGACCTCTTAAATTTGTTAAGTTTACGCTGAAGATACAATTTGTTTTGTTATTTTGTTATATACAAGAATATCTAAATAGACGTATATTCCATTTTTTAAAAACATGATATTCCTCGGTCAAATGATTTCTTCTACCCCGTTAAAAGCCAAACAAATAGGATTTTTACAGAAAGTATATTAAACGGACCCTGAATGTTTTAGCAGGGTGGTGCTGTGGGTCTTTCTCAACGAACAAAAGTAATAAAGTCGCAATATAACCTAGCAAAACTAATAATTTCTTTTCTACTGAGCTAGATACAATAGTTTAAGCAAATTATACTTAAAGGTATAATTTGAATCAGAATTACTTACATGCATCTGTTAAAACTTTTGATGATAGCATCATGCAGCAAAACAAAACGTGCACTTTATTCCACTTCATATTTGTTTACAATCAACGTTACTTGTACATGTCTCTAAAGTGAAAATATAAAATGTGGTAGTAACTAGTTATATGTGTAAAATATATATTCCTCTTCCGAACGTTCGAAACGCTTTATGTTAAACTGACGCACTATTATTCAAGGATTACTCAATTTAAGACGAAAGTTTAAAAAAAGTACATACTCAGTATTAAAACTTTGACATACTTTGTTATCTCTTTTATGATATGTTTATGATTAAATTCAAATTAATGTCAAAATCAACATTTCATGTTTGAAAGCAAAATGTTCATAAACAAGTAAAAAGCAAAAGCTGTAGGAAAATCAAGCGTAGATATATTTACAAGCTGATATATGTCAAAATGTTACTCTACCAAGACGATAATATTAATCATTTACTATCATTAATACACGACAACCTTTTTAATAAATGTTTGCAGTCAAAGGTGAACTCACAAAAATATTTAAAGATGTTGAAGGTAAATGTTTCCTTGTAGACAGGTTTTATTTGTGTTAATTTATCAATTTTACATGTTGGTGAATATGTATTTTTACTTAAGTTATTTTTACTTACATAGTAATGATGCTTCCAGAGGTATATCTTAATGTATTTCAGTTACCTAGCATGATTTAATACTATGTACGTTTATATTAACACTTATGTCTTTTAAGATACACGCATCTGGATAAAACAGATTTTTAGGGGGCGTGAGGAATGTAGCACTTTTCATTATCCCTCATGTACAGACTCAAATAAACCGAGTCTGCAATAATCATGTAATTTTGTTGTGATTAATGCTTCCGAGGGATCACTGTTTATCCAGTTTTTTTAATATAATTATAAAATGACACATATAATTATAAAGGTAACCAATCCATAATAAACGTACACTATTCATCTTCAGTTTTTGTTGAGCGGAAATCAATTGAACTATATTGATAACGATAGTATGTGTTTAACGACCGTTTGTATATACATGTATATGTGACTGAAAACATATAAGAAATGTGTGTCTACATGTATATACTGTTCTTTTTCTCCAATAATTGCTGTGCAATAACTGTATAAATAGGTTGTACATCAAACAATTCCTTGTTTCTGTAAAGTATCGGATGTTTTTGTAAAACACGCCTGGTAAACGATCGAGCTACCTCTTTCAGGGGTATACGGTAAATCGCTCTATCACTACTTCCGAGCTAGTGTATGTATCTAATATCAGGTGTCGCAAAAGTGTTTTCAAATTTATATATTTTGTAAACTCTACACCAAATATTGAAATTCGGAGGATATTATGCCATATAAATTTGATTAAAGTTTCCAAGATATGTAAAGTTGATAAATTTGTGTTTGTAATTGTAGCGGCGTTTCCCAGTTAGCGAATTTAGCGTTAAAATCATAAAATACTGTATAAGTACTTATTTTGTCGGGGGTTTATATTTGGCTATATTGGCGGTCAGGGTCAGTAGCGCCAATTCAAAACACCGCCAATTTAAAGCACCGCCATTTTAGATCATCGCCATTATTCTTTGAAAGGTAGACAACTCATGGTAAAATAGCTTTGGTTTGTCCGAGTAATCTCCCTTGATTATTTGTAATAAAAATAAACATTACAAGTAAGCTGAAAAGAATTTGTTTATTTTTAAGTCTTGGTACGAAACTCATTTAATTATATATCTATATACAGTACTGTATTTATTACGAAGATGATCACACGACGAGAAACAAATCTAAATGTCATATAAAAATCAGACATGGAATCATGTTACACTTTGTACATTTAATTACTTAACGAAATTTATAGTCCTGCCTTAGAGAAAGACTCGGCAATGATGTCGGGCTTTGTGGCTAGTTTAGAAACAGCCTTGACCAGCCATTGTGCATGCAATGGTTTCACAACAGAAGTCCGCAGGTCAATTTTTAACAAAAATAGTTTTTATTTATGTTTTTATTAAAATCGTTCAGAATTAGCACGATGTAAAGATAAAGGTGACCAAGCAAAGGTATACCGTATGCCGTAAAATAAACGAGGACAGTTAACTACTGCGTGACCGGTGTTATTTTTATTTACTTTTTTTATTCTTTATTTGTAATCGCCAATTCATGACCCCATATTTATGCCAACAAGTGTTTTAATTTAGCGGTCTAAAAGCGTTTGCGCCAATTTATGACCCCGCCAATTCAAAACACTTTAAAAAACGCCAACATTTGACACCGCAGATATAATGCGCTATACAGTAGATAGATAGATGGATGGATGGATGGATGGATGGATGGATGGATTTCCTCCAAAGATGAAGAGCATAACAGTATTTACAGATACAATATTTACATTACAGTATACATGTATAATGCAATTTAAATATTATGCGATAACATTACAAAAATATATCATAACAGAAACAAAGATCATATATTGTGGGATCTATATTAAATCTTTCATTTTATGGCAAAACTAATTCACACCTGTTTTTTATTTATTGATCTTTTATCTAACAACAAAAATGTAGAAGAAAACATGGCACTTACAAGTGTATCCTTAATATGATTGTAAGCATTTCTCCTTTATATAGCTTCAACGAAATCGAAACTAAAGGTTTGTAAAGTGGGAAACACATTTTATTGATTTCTTAAAAACAATGAAGGGGAATTGGCAAATAGTTCTAAATATAAGTCATATCTTTTTAACAGAAGATATAGTTAATATAAAGCTGTATTATTTTTAATATTTTAAACTTGAGTCATGTACCATCATTTTGCTAAAATTGGAAAGAAACATTAATAATTGATCGGCTAGTACCTATTTAAACTTGTTACACTATCTATACTTTTTTTGTTTTATTTCATAGATATCGATCGAAAGAGCTGTCAGCAACCGTCCTATTGAAGATTATGTCTACCATGTATAGACCCATCCTAGGTAGAAGAGAGACAGAAAAAGACGAGTGAATTGGTGTTTGTATGTGATTAACGTTGAAGGGGTGTGTGACGAACAATGTAGAACTATGTGTTTAACATTGTAGGGGTGTGTGACGAACATTGTAGAGCTATGCAGTAACAATGTAAAAACAGTAAACTATGCATGTGTTGCTTAAACTTTTGTTTTTTGTTGTTATTTTTATTTGATTTACTTGATAAGTGTTAATATTTTAAAGCAAAATAAATAATAAAACAATGGGGCCGGGTTGACCAGAAATACCATTGGTTTTTGGCCGGGTTGACTTGAACCGGAAATGGAGGTTTTTAACTTTTGACCCTTACCTGGGGGTCGGGGGGGAGGTAGCATTGCAATTATTGCGCTTTGTTCATCGTCTCATTATGGTGATCACTTGTGCCAAGTTATTCCAAAACAAAAAAATCAGCGTTTTAAAGTTATGGCGTGGACACGAAAGTGCTACGGACGGACAGGCGGACGTTCTAACGGGACAGTAATAAAGTGGCTACTCAATTATTCTCTCTATTGTTCTTTTTAGCCATACACAAGAAAATAGCCACATAAAAGCATTACGGAATAAATGACATCAAAGAGAAAGAAGAGTAACCTAGTGTCCCTCTAGCCACATTATAACTGTCCCGTGAGAGCGGACGGACGGACAGACAGACGGACTGATAGACGGAGGCCATACCTATAATCCCCTTTCTGCTACGCGGAAGAGTAACAAATATGAACACTGTACAAACTGAGATTTCACATTTCAAATGTACACAAACAATTACCTAACAATACCAAAGTAACTATGTATACATTGCTGTAAACAATATAGTATGCCTAAGAACTTTAAACGTCATATGGTAACCGATCACATTAGAGAAGAGAAAGAGGAATGCGACAGAGCTGTCTTCAAGAACAAATATCCTATGTTTTTTATTTAGTATTTTTTTATCTGATTTAAATTTCATTTGACTTCTAGGTTTTATATCTACTTGAAACTATTTTTTTTTAAATCTGAATCATTGTTTAGATGATATAACATGAAACACGAGGAAAATAATTTGTTTCATGCCCATTTCAACGCTAAATTCGCTAACAAACACAATTATAACAATTTTACGTGTTCTAGAAATCTTAATAAAATCTACATGGCATAGCATTCTCCGAATTTCGAGATTTGGTTTAGAGTTAACAAAATATATAAAAAATGAAAACACTTGACACCTAATCTTAGCGACATGCACTAGCTCGGAAGTAGCGATAGAACGATTAACCGTATACTTCCGAAAGAGGTAGGTTATAAGATTCTACTATCAAATGAAAGAAATTAATAGATTAATAAATATTCAATCAATTGGTGTTAACTATCATACATTTGTAATATCTTTAAAGGAAGATAAGTAGATTTTTACGAAATAAATAAGATTATTACAGTTGTCTTCCCTGTGTTTGAATGTGTATGACAGTGTTGATTTGTTTGCATAATACAATTATATAGAAATAGTGTATCTTGCCGACCTAGCGATCAGATAATGATGATATAATATATAAAGTATGAAACAGGATTTAAAACATTGTAATGCGAGTTGTTTTGTGTACAGACGCAATTATACAAAAAAAACTTATTAAATTAAATTAAAATTAAAGGAAAAGTTTAAAGGCAAGAAGAACTTAAACACTTTTGATCAGGTATGAAATTTTATCTTATTTCCTATGCTTTCTTTTGAAATTAGTGTAAGAATGTACACAGTATTTTGTAATATCATTCAACACATTTTGTTGACCCCAACGTTAATCAAACCAGTTATACTTTTGTAGAAATGTGGTCTCTCTATTCAAATAATGTCTATATTTTAATATGTTGTAGCAATTCGTTTGATATTAAAATAAATGAAATCAACGAAATGAAATCTTTAAAGAATGTATTATCTTGTATCAAAAGTTTTAATAAAAGAGAAAATACACCGTATCAACGATAACCTTGTTCTCTCCCTGTATCATTTATATCATTATTATATTTTATTATGGATAAGAAATAACTTTGTAATAGACCTATGTCTTGTGTATGATGCTTATACCATGTCATTGATATTATTTAACTGCTGATTGTATTATTACTGTGTGACCAGGTGGGCTCCAGCCCTTATAATAAGAATTGGACCTAACTGGCCCCAGCCAGCAATAATTCAGTAGACATGGGTTCTGATATAACAACACCTGATTTGGTTCTATTCTGTATATATTTTTAAAGCCCTGTAAATAAACAATAACTATTATATCATATTGCAATAAATAAAGATTAACATATCACATATGTATGTCTATAAATGATTTCAATGAACATATCAATAGTCATACTTTAAATACTCTTGCGGTCAAGTCA